GTCGTCGTCGTCGTAGTAGTAGGTCTGGAGCAGCAGCAGCAGCAGCAAAAGCAGCCTTGAGATTTGCGGCAGGATCATGGAAGTTGCCGGTACCAAGTGGCAGCAGAACTAGCCGACGCATACGAGCGAGGAAGCGAGCACGGAGCAGAACTATAGCAGCAGGGTATGGAGCAAAGGTAGTCGTCTGTCGTCGTCGTGGCGGCGCTGGTGGTGTTGATGTGTTTGCCCTGGCTGACTACTGTATGATGACCTTGCGGCATGCCGGCATGCCCTTCTCCCTGCTCAGTCCTCGTCTTCCTGCGAAGTCGGCACGGCCCGTGGCACGGACGCGCAAATGTCCTGAGAGTGACCTGCCATCCGCTTCGAACACAAAGAGTAAGATGTCCCCAGTCCTTGGCTTGGGTCGCGTGCTTCTTTCCACCGGACATGCATTCTCGGAAAGAATGTCTAAGGCAAAGAAGGCCTGCACAAATGACACGTAGCATCTGTGCATGTCTTCGCTGATCCATGGCAAGTGTTTACATGGTCTGGTTTTGTTGTCTAGACTATGGATTCATTTGCTTGCTGGCAAGTGTCTTCAATCTCTCCACAAGGAAGGTCTGCCCCGCCAGCGCAACAACAGCACCGTCACTCAACGCCTCCAGGCCCTGCGGCAAAGACTGCACCTCCTCTGCTGGAGCTTCAACTTGAGCTTCGCGCTGAATTTCGTTGGCTTTCTGATCCTCCCGCAAAGCTTTCAAGGTTGGTGCATGTGCTCATGCAGCTTGCCCTTTCAGGAGCGCTCCAACTGCTGCAACCTCGAAGCTACCTTTGGCTTCGCAGGGTCTGGGCTGCGAAGCAAGACAGGAACGCCCACACCCAGGAGTGGCCAAAACTCGAGTGCCTAAAGGCCTGGAGCCTGAACTTTGCAGCCCGCCTCCTCTTGGACCTCCATAGACAGAGCGCCCACGGGTCCACCTGAGTTTCTATCGGCTTAGGAGAAACTACAGCTCAGCAAGCTTCTCAAAGCACCAGTGACGAACAACAGCGTGGAACATATCATGCTGAGCTGGAATTACAATCCACCTGATGACGCCGGCAGTATACCAACTTCCTAGAAGCCCGAAGTTTTCAAACAATGCTTCTGCCAACTCAGAGAACGCCGCAGGATGACGCCGGCAGGCCAGCCCAACACTCATCTGCAGGGACCTGGTGAGCTTTGTCCGTACCGGTCAAATTTGGCCGGAGTAGAATATCTGAATATCCCAGACATGTGTATATATAACACTCTACACACAACACACATAAGCATGCATACAGGTATGGATGTGCACACGCAGGCTCAAGACGTTTCCCAGTGTAGGGTGCCGTTGTGCTGCTTCCAAGAAGGGGGAGAAGGAGTCGCAAGCGCCTGCTCGCCCTTCAGCACCTGGCTATTCTCCAGGACAACGGCGCCCTCGTGCAGGACGGCTCCAGGAGACCTCGGGCTTCGGCTTTCCGACCCTTTGCCATTAACTTATCATGCCCGCTGGAGCAACTTTTAAGAACATTCTCTTGACCGGCGTACTATGTCAGACTGGTTTGTTGGAAGTCACCCGCACCACCGCCTTAAAGCAGTTTTCGGTACCCCTGCGCAAAGTTAGGAACCAGCACATGCACACTTGTATGGGAATGTCAGGTCAAGTCAGGGAGCTTTAGGAGGTATGAGTAGAGACTTGAATGTATCGAATTCCTGCCATGGGGTGCGATTGAGCCAAGTGGATTATGCAGCTGCGGTGCACCATCGAGTGAGGAAGCATGGAGGTGTACGACTCAAGAACCGTTGGTGCCAGTTTGATGACCATGTTCTCGACTGTGTGGCATGTTGTATCGCACTCCCAGCCTACGCAGCACCCATCGCCCATTGTCAGCAAGTCATACTCCAAGGCTAGCCCAAACAAGCAGCAGTTCTGTCCCACTTTTGCACCCATCAGCCTGTAGTACCAGACCAGAAACTCCGTGCCTTGAAGTGCATCGACTGCATCTTCCATGACACCTGATAATATCATCATGACTGTCCAGCTGAGATGATAATTGCTGAAGAATGTGTAGTCACCCTCCTCGTACTTGCCGATGATTCGCCATTTCAGGATGTAGTTGATTGAGAGTACAACGAGGCTGATTGCAGCGTAGACAAACGGGAACGACAGCAAAGCAAGGAATGGTCCATAAGATGTCCAGGTTTTCCACCCAAGCAGGCAGGTGAGCAAACACTGGTAGATAGGCACAGGGCTGCAAACGATTGCAGCGCCAATTACCCCGAAATTGAAGCCCCAGAAAAACTCATCTGAGTTAAGTCTGCGCATTGCTTCCCACTCTGTGACCACTTGCTCCTCTGTAGAGGTCTGGAATCGCAAGCGGACAGGCTTGCCACCGACCTGGCCAGTGTTGATGCTATCCGGTGGAAAGTAGGAGTCTGCTGGAGCAAGCGAAGCAGATCCCAAGACGGCGCGCTCCCCAACAAAGGTCCCTGGCATCAGGACCCCATGGTCCAGCACATTGGCGCCGCGGAGGAGCTTGACTTCTTGGCGTCCAGCTGCACCCGCACAGTGTGCTGAAACTACGGATCCGAAAACAACGTCATCTTCGACGGTGAAGCAGTCGTGCTCCGCTACATAGACGGTGTCCATTTGCACGCGCCGCCCTATCTTGGATCCCAACATTCTGTACATGATGCTCAGCACTTCCGTGCCTACGAAAGGATCCATGGCGTCGTCGAAGCTCCTGGCACAAACCGCCTGTTCGTGGAGCCAGGTCCGAAAGGCATCCTTGTGCCAGGCCCATGAGCCTCACAGGTCTATGAGCTGAGAACCTCTCAGCTTAGGAAGCCCACAAGCATTAAACAAGAACGCCCTCCCCTGAGACCGGGAACCTTCCTCGGGCATAGGTCCAGGAAGTAAGCGCCCAACCAGCGCACGCTTCTGAAGCACGGTCAGGAGGAAGAAAGTGAGTGCGAATCCGTGCCGGTATACCAGAGGTGATAGCAGCCAGAAGATCCAGTTCCCGCCTTTCTTTGTGCAGGCCGTCGCTTGGATCAAGGTTGCAGTTTTCAATGGCAGCAAGCCCCGTCAAAAACAGTACTCAGTACAACAGTGACAAACGCAATCCTTTCAAGGCACCAGTGAACGCCCACAACATCTCGAGGGCATAGATCGTGGGGACGATCGCAGCACTGTGCAGGATGAGGAGCCATGGCAGCCCCACAGCAAGGCGGAGATAATCCTTCCAGAATCGCATGCAGGCTTGTATTCATGCTGTCGAGTGGCGCTGTTTCGTGTGCGAACCTCCAACGGCATTCTGAGAATCCCCCTGAAATCCGAAAGCCTGTACGTAATAATCCCCAACCTCGACTCGAAGATGCCCACTGGGCCGCTATTATTGTCAGTGGAAATCTGTGTTGGTGTGACAGAAAGGCGTGTGTTTCGGTTTCGGAGGTGGCACCCGTCCCCCCACCCTCGAGTGACGGAACTCAGGCGCAGGGGCTTGCATGGACCTTGCATCGTCGTGGTTCTAATGCAGCCTGCGTAAGCATGAAACCGGAATCAACTTCTGAGGACAGCTGCATTCCATTCAGCCTTACCCTCTGAGCCCTTGAAGCCACCCCCTTGAACACCGAAAAAAAACTCCCTTCCTACCCTGAGCCCTGCAAGCTCTCAACGACCCGAAGCCCTTGGCCACAGCACGTCCTGCGTCGTCACACGTTCAATCTTCGAGGGTTGCAAGGGGCAGACAGCTCCCACGGAACCCATCCATCCAGAGGTCGAGGCTAGCGGAGGCACCTCGGAACCGCTGGGCACCTGAGCTTTCAAGGCGGGAGGTTGCCGGCCCGGCCTTCCTGAAATCTATACTGGGCAGCAGAGGGACATGTCAAAATCTGGGCTGGGTCATGTCTGCAACAGGCTCAAACATGAAAGCTGCGTAAGAGGCTTCGGCAGGAGCATTACAGACGATTCATATGCTGCGACAGTTTCATCTTGTGGAAAGAAGTTCTCTCGAGCGGCATCTGTGCCCATGACCAGCATTGCCCGAGGCATCACACACGACCTGGACTGGACCTTCACAGCACCGAGGATGAGCTCGCCATCCATGAGGCCTGCTGCGAGTCGCGGCATAGAAGACCCTAAGTCTAGGTTTATGTAGTTTATGTACGAATGACAAAGATGGACAGATAGATCGAGCGATAGGTAATTAGATGATAAATAGACAGATAGCCAGACAGACAGGCAAGCAGAAACAAAGACGTTCTATCTCTCTCCCTCTTCTTCTTCTCTCGTGCTCGCTCGTTCGCGCTCTCTACTGAAGTTTGCCGACCTTTCTGCTCACTACTCTACTCTCCCTCTCTGTGATTGCCGACCTGCTGCACAGATTCGGGCATGGTTGACAGACACATCGCTCCCGATAGACACCAGGTCGGGCTCCTCCAGCTCTGGATCGTTCAGGTCGACCTGCCCATTCACCACAGATGTCAGTCGCATTGGGTTTAGGATCGAGGGCCTATGTCGAGGTTTGACCATTCAGTACGGAGTTTCTGTGCATTGCACTCGGAAAAGCTCAATCTGACGAAAGCCTGGCCACCGATCACCGCACGAATGATTCAGGAAAATGGCTGCGTTTACCTCCCTAAGGCCCACTCTCTCTGCACTTTGAGCCACTCTCTCCCCGATGTCGGCGCCCAGTGCCCGGTAGAAGTGGACCAGAAGGCACCTGAACATGGCTAGAAGTTGCTGTCTATGCTGTTGGTGAGGGGTTGTAAGCGCATGAAGCCAAGCTGGTTACCAAACTTCCACGCAGTGAAAAAGAGCTAAGCACAACTAAATCACGTCGCCTTGCTTCTTCCACGACAACTCCAGGACACGAGCAGTCCGAACCTGCCCCAACGATGTGCTAATTAGCTATGACCATATTACCGCACCTTACTCTCCATCAATCCTCAGTCTCCTGAAAAGCAGTCGAGCGGCGTCCCAGAAATGAACTCAGAGATCCGGTCGCGACACTTCTCCACCAAGTGGCGCTGGAAGAGCCAAAGGAAATAGGTTTTCCTCGAAGCTGCTGGAGAGTAGCTACACGGCTACGAATCAGATCAGATCTAGTTAGCTAGTGAAAATCATAGCTGAAAGAGTTTTGCCTTCAAGGCTCCCAAACAAAGGATACCTCCCCGGTTCCAAGCGCCCAACAATCAGCTGCTTCAAGGCGACGCACACGGCGGCCTCCCGATTTCGGATTTGGGTTTGAAAAGCTGACGGCTTGGCGGCTCGCTAAGAATGAGCTGTAGCTAAGGTGCCGTAAGACGGTAACGACAATCTGTCAGAATGACTGTAGAGGGCTGCTGCGGCTGGTGTCGAAGAGATCAGAAATCGAGTCTGCCTAAGAACAGTTGAGAGAACACAGCTGTGACCAAGATAAACACGTAACCCCTCGCTCTGGCTTCCTGCCACCCTCGCCACAAGACCAGTCCTCCAGCACGAGAAGCACGGCCAGCAGCCAAGGAAGACAAAGAATCAAACAGCGTCGGCCATAGGCCTCGATCTCGAACTGCGGTGACGGGACATAACATATTTCATCATATTTCATATGTGTGCGTGCATATGAATATACATATATATATATATACACATGCATATATCTAAAGAGAGGGGCAAAGAAAGGGTTGAAGTACATCTCTTCCATTATATTGAACTGTTTAATGTAGTATATTCCTTACATTGCATTCCATTACGTTGTCTATGTATTGTTTTGTGTTGACTCACATGGGAGTGTAATATGGTGGTGTAATATAATATTGTATCGCAGTATTTGTATTGTTCCCCACCCTCGTTGTGGGGTTGTTAGGTTGTAAACTCAGCTGTTACTCCCGCCGGCTCCTCGCCCGCTGACCTGCAAAGACTGCCTGGAGTGCCCAAACGCAGACACTACTGCGGGGAGTCTCACCCCAGCAACTCTCACGGTAGTCTTTGGGGTTGGGCATTCCGGGGAGTCTCACGGTACTCTGTGGGGTTGGGCACTCTTTCTGGGGTTCGGCACTCCAGGGAGTCTCACGGTAGTCTCTGGTGTTCGGCACTTCAGGGAGTCTCACGTATTGGGGTTGGGCACTCCAGGAAATCTCGCGGTAGTTTCTGGGGTTCGGCACTCCAGGGAGCCGCAAGGAGTCTCACGGTAGTGTCTTGGGGTTGGCACTCCAGAGAGTCTTGCGGTAGTTTCTGGGTTTGGCACTCCAGGGAGTCTCACGGTAGTCTGGATCGTCGACTGACCTGAATCGAACACGTGTTTTGGTACGTGTACAGGGACCCCACGTCCGTAACGCCAGTCAGTGGTGACCCCATGCATGGGTCGTCGAATGACCTGAATCGAACACTCGTTTTTTGTTCCATGCACGGGGACCCCCCGACCCTAACGCCAGTCAGCGACGTGACCCCATGGATCGTCAACTGACTGACCAGAATCGAACACTCGTGTTTTGCTACGTGTACGGGGACCTCACGTCCGTAATGCCGGTCAGTGGTGTGACCCCATGGATCGTCGAATGACCTTAATCGACCACGCGTTTTGCTACACGTATGGGACCCCACGTCCGTAACGGTCGGTGGTGTGACCCCATGGGTCGTCGAACGACCTGGATCGAACTCTTGTGTTTTGTTACTTGACCGGGGACCCCACGACCGTAACGCCAATCAGTGGCGTGGCCCCCAAACGCATCATCTGTAGGGTGGGATGTTCGAAGCAAAATAGTTTTTGGTGTTATGGACTATAAAGTTCTACTAGCTATGCTAAACTGTATGTTAAATTTTATACATCTTGTTATAATAGACGAAATCCACACTGTTACAGTGTATCATATCTCACCATATAGCATAATATTCTATTGCATTGCGTTCTGTTATGTTATCTTATGTTATGCCATATTCTATTGTATACTGTAATTTCCACTACATTGCATTACACTGGATAGTATTACGCTGTATTATATCATACAAACCTGCTTTAGAATATTAGGTTCTATCGTAGTCTACTATGTTGCATTCTGCTACATTACATTACATTACATTACATTACATTACATTACATTACATTACATTACATTACATTACATTACATGACTTACTACTATATTCTAGCATTAAAAATTATAAGTTATACAGATTATACATGATACATAACATATGTTATATTGCATATGAATGAGAGTACACGCGCTGGAACAATGCCTCGAACCTGAGGTCCGCTTCTCGGTAGCAAGCTGTGCATCAATGTGTCGATGAATGTAATGGCGCACCTACAAGAAAGTGAAGGCAAACAGGCTGCTCGGCCATGGCGAGGCTTTCGCGCGAGCTTCATGCGTGGAACCCGGGATTTCGAACGCCGATCGTAGAGATCCCGAGAAAAACGCCCCTGAACTGAAGCAACCGAAAGCGTGGCCTGGTAGACCATCCAGGCCAGCATCCAACGGATCATCCAAGCGAAATTGTCACCAAGCCTAGTCTGGGTCTACTGCATCCAAATGGGCGTTGGGGATTCTTGCGCTGATATAAGTGAGGTTCGCCTGCCTTTTTCGTGAAGTATGCAAATCGAGTTTGAGGCAATTGGCATTATGCAGTTCGGCGAGGTTGCCTGCGTTTGATTGTAACATGCTGCTATCTGGCGCAATGATCACACTGCAAACCAACCATTTCAGCGCATTCCAAGGTCAAGGCGCCTACATGTAGCCACGTCGAGCTCTCAGCAAGCCCTATTTCAATTCTCAGACTATCGAAGCTTCAATTCGCTTCAACTCCCAGCCCCAGGCTCAACAAGCCAACAGCCCTTGCACCAAAATCCCAGCTGCAGGTTCCCCGCGACGGCCACAAGGAACTGAGCGCACAGGGCTGAAGGGCTCCTCAAGGAGGGAGGGATCTCTGTCTTCACCCATTCACTGCAGTACATTGTCGAACCCCTTGTTGCGGCTGGAGCTGAAGCAGCCCATGCCCTCAAAAAATCATGGTGAGAAGACAGGAACATTGCACCGAAGAAGTTTCTAGCACGTGCGAACGCACAAGGCGTTGCGTGGCAGAGCTTACCAAGACGAAAGAATGCGTCAAGCCGAGATAACATTGACAGCTATTTCTCATTATACTGCTATGTGACTACATACCAGATTTCAGGCAGAGGGAAGGGCTGTGGAAATGCTGTGGAAGAAAAGGGGCAGTGCAGTGGACAGCAGGCAAAAGCTAAGTGGAATCCGACGTGCAGGGTGAAGGGCTCTGACTGGAAGGTTGCACCAGAACCGAGAACTGGGAGTCTCCATGCGAGTTGACGTATCGCGGGAACACCTGCGGGCGGTCGTGGACTCGTGTCCCTCTCTGCGTGGCTGGCGTTTCTTTGTCTGCATCCTTTGTGTGTGGGGGGGGGGCCGGAGGCTCATAAGCGCTTTTAGCATGCAGAGGTGTGCGTGCCGCCGTGCAGCAATAATCAAGAAAGCATGTGGCGCTTTCCGGAATCCCAAACAGTCCAAGCTAATTCTAATCGCTCCGAGCAAAATCACTTCGAGTGCAGCACCGGTCCTGGCGCTTAGGGCCTGGTAGCGCTGCTTGCCGGGCACAGCCTCCTGCGGGGTTCCAGAGGTCACAGTCCAGGCAAGAACCCAAGGACATGGCCTTGCATGAACATACGCGGTCTGCCCGTGTATGCGCGTGCGCACCCTTGAATGCCTGCGTGTGTCGTGAGTGAAAACTGCATGACGGTTGCAATGGAGGAGGCTACTTATGACTAGGCTGGACCACAGTGGCATCTTATTCTGTGGCACAGAGATGCTTCGTCAAAGCCGCAACCCGTGCAGGGCATCGCACAGTACATGTCCGGGCTCAGTCAAGATGGAGGTCAACAACATCCGTTGCATGAATGTTGCTCTGCATGGCATTTGTGGCAAAACATGTTTATATCTTGAACCAAATATCATATAGCAATACTAAGTAAAGAGCTACATGTGTATACGCAGGTATATTAGATAGATAGGCAGACAGCTACTTAGTTAGTTAGTCAATTAGTTAGTCAGTCAGTCACAGCTAGGTAGTTGGTTGGGTTGAGTTTGGTTAGGCTAGGCTAGGCTTGGTTAAGTTGAGATAAGGCAAGTTAATTAGTTCGTTGGTTGCTTGGTTGCTTGGTTGGTTGGTTGGTTGGCTGGCTAGTAGTGAGTTAGTTGGTGCATTAGTTGGTTAAATAGTCTTTAGGCCCCGCATCAGTTAAGCTAGTTCTATATTCTCTCTCTCTATATATATATATA